AAGCATCTATCTTCCTTCGCTCAGCCTTCCTTTTGGTCCAGCTCTCACATCCATAGTTTGCTACAGGGAACACCATTGTAACAGCAATATGTCTGTACTTTGCAGGATATAACCACTTCTTCTCCAAGAAAATACCAAAGGCATGTACACCCTTGGAAAGCAGATGAAAAGTACAGGAGTTATTCTCTCCTATAGATCTATCTGTCTGACTTTGTTTTACTATTTGCACTTTTTCTGGCATCTCTTTACGCAATCTGGTGTTTGAGCATTTCTCTACAACTCTTCAACTTCTTGCTCAGCCATGGAAATTCGCTGAGTGACCACAGGCATTTCACACAGCCCCAGAAAACCTCTTATAGGTTCAACTTAGAGTTGCCATAAATCAGTAATTACTTGAAGGCACACACAACAACGCTGACAAGAGACAGTGTCTGAATATATAGTGTGGACACCTCACTAAGCTTTGTGGCATGGACCTTTCACTTGTAAAACATATAGCCCCTCGCATGGCCAAGGAACAAATGACAGTGTCTGCCCTTTATCCACTCTAGGACTGAAACAACAAGAAAGATCACCAATAGGAAAAGACTGATTCATCAGGGATGCTATCCTTTAGTCTACTGTGGAGAAAGACCATTTTGGAAATATTTATCTCCATGTCCACTTCATCACACTAGAGGAAAAATCCACTTAAAATCCGGTTTTTGTCTCCTGCAGAATTCTAGGGTTTGTAGTTTAGTGAGTCTGTTAAAGGCTTCTCCCTAAGTTACAAACACCAGAATTCTGCGGGAGGCAGAAACCTGATTTTAAGTGGATTCATTCTCTAGTGTGATGAGGTATCAGGGGATAAACTATATAGCCCAAGAAAAAGAGGTGAAAAATCTCAACATTATTTCTCTGTGCCTTTGCTCCTTCCTGTCTCTTTTTGAAAATAAATCTGTCACTCTGAAATAATTATACAAAAGAATAGCTTCCTCTTGCAAAGAAATAAAAATCCTGTATAAACACAGAAAATCCCAGTCTCTGCCAGGCATTCAAGATTGTTGCTATCTCTCCAGCCAAAGAGCATGTCTTACCCTGATACATATGTCCACCCTGCCCCATTCTCCACTGGGAAGCTGTAAGTACCAGCTGTTCATATAATCCACCAAAACAAAGTTATATAAATATTATCACAATAGAAAATATTAGTACTTCTGCACATGGTTTTGCAGTCTGTTTATCAACAGAAATGGTAAAACAGATTAAAGGTGACATAGAAAATCATGGGTGCAGTTTGTGTTTTTCCTTCAGTTGTTTATTTTATAGACAAGATCTTATGTGAAGGCAATCTAGCATGGAATGCAGAAAATAGAGAAGTTATTGAGAATTTAAACATCTTCTACTAAGATGTTCAAAGGGCAAAGCTCAACGCTCTGGCACACAGCCTAGTGACTGCTCCTTAGTTCTTTAGCACCCCATCCTGTTGTCAATTATAGATTCTCTATACTACAGAACAGTGTTAAAATGTACATTTTCATTAACTATCTCATTATATCATTAAATAAATGCTCTCCTGGCCCAGGAAATTTAACCTTGGCAATTGTTCTCTTACTGCCAAGTATAGATTTACTAAAAAGCATTTGGCACTCTCTGCTGACCATCCTTTGTAACAACATAAAGACGAAAATATTTACCGTATATGGTGCGTAAGTAGTATTTTCAATAACAAGGAGAAGAAAGCAAAATATTTTAGTATGGTATGTTTACTAGTATAAAATAAGGAGAAAACTCTGTTTCCTACCAAAGAGCTCCATATGAAGCTGATTTATTAAAGTCAAAACTCAGGGCCCTTCCAGACTGGCCCTATATCCCAGGATCTGATCACAGATTTTCTGTTTATCCCAGATGATCTGGCAGTGCTGACTCAAATAATCCAGTTTAAAGGGGGAAAAAACTGGGATCAGATCCTGGAATATAGGGCCTGTCTGAAAGGGCCCTCAGGAAGTGTCTTTACACACACATAAATGATTACACATGAATATTGGGGCTTCATTATTTTAAGATTTGCCCCTTCAGTCACCAAACAGACACTTCTTACATGAGGTGTGAGAAATCAGGCATCCCATCAGAATGGATAACAACTCCCAGCAGTCTAACCAGCATAATCAATGTTGAGGGATACTGGGAGTTGCAGTCCAATGTGTGAAGTGCCACATTATTCCAAACTCTTATTTACACTTCTGAATTAGGTGGAAATTGAATTGTGGAAACTGAAAAAACAAGGGAAGTTATTTTATAGGTGTTGAATTGCTTTATTTGTAATCCATAAAGCCCTAGAAAAGATTTTAATAGTATTTCTGACAGGTTTCTTTTTACTTCAAGTGTGATTTTTAAGCTGAGAACTGAATGCTGGATTTTGTTTTATTGTGTGTGTGTCAGGAGTGACTTTAGAAACAGCAAGCTGCTTCTGGTTTAAATACTGGATTAAAACTAGTGTGATCCAGAAGGCCTATTATTATGTTGCTCTGTGCATATTTACAGAAACAACTACTGTAAACACTTGTATATAAGTCAAGGGCAGGTTTTGGGGCCAAAATTATGGATTTTGACACAACCCATGGATAAGCCAAGGGTTATTCTACAGAGAGGGGAAACACCATTGCAATCTCAGGGAGGCATCTCCCCGGCCACTGCCATTTCCCCATTTAGGCATTAAAAAAGTCCAGAGGTGGTAAAGGGAGTTGGTGCTTCTTTTAGTTTTTCCCAGAATGGACTGATCTCTCACTTTCCACCAGTTTACTCAGTAAATGGGGTGGCTCTTTTTTTACATATCACAGTAAAGATACAGTACTTACACTGATCAATGAATAGGTCGACTCAGGTTTTGGGGGTTTATGATTTAATTTTTACATGAGCATGCAGGGTAGTTCATTTCTGTTCTAGGGGTCTTACGTGCAAGCTCTGCTTCATTGTATTCCTGAAACTCATTATTTTCCATCTATAGTAGACAAAATCATGCTTGTATTATTAGCATTATATATTGAAAACACAAGCCACCTTTGATTTTTTTTCTCATTGTATTTATAGTAATTGTAAATGCATGTGAGAAAGCAGAGGGGTGTATGTCTGAAAAAAGGTTAAGATCAAGTTTTTTAAATTTTGTGATAACAAACTGGAGACTTCGTAATACCTGTGCAAATGAGTCTTGCTTAGCCTCAAAGTGTTTTATATGAGGGTGGGTCAAAAAGTTTTGCCTCCTGTGTCATAAAAACCAGAAGTTGCTACAGAACTATCCTCTACGCAAAACTACTGTTCAACATAGTCACCATCAATTTGTACACATTTGTGCCATTGTTTAACCCAAGCATCAAAACCATTTTAGAAAAATTCAGGGTTTTGCTTCTTCACCCATGGTTTTAAAGCTGTTTTAACATCCACATCCATAGCTGTCATAAGCAGGTATAGATTATGGTGCATGTGAACATTCAATACAAGACATCACTATCAGCAAAGAAACTATTAATATAAGGTACTGCATAATGTTACTGCCTGTGGATGTTTATGCTCTACTGAATTAAAGAAAGTCCATGGGCAACGTCTCCCTTTGCTTTCTGCAGGCAGCAATCCCAAAACAGCATCTATCCCACACATGGAGCAGGTCACAAGAAAGCCACTCCCAACCACCATCATTTGTCAAGATGGTCCTGGCTATTTTTTCTTGGTCCAAATCAGACTGCAATCAATATTCTTTGCAAGCTCCATACCAGATACTTAACAGAGAAAAATAGTTTACACTATGCAGCTCAGGTTACACAGAATATTAATTTGCTACTCTGCCTTCTGTGGAACAAATGTATAAGACACAGAAACTATGATAGAAAGATTAGTAGGCAACACAATCAAGTCAGCCCTCCATATCTGTGGGTTTTGTATCCATAACTCAACCAACCATAATAAAATCCCAAAACAATCCTTGATTTTGCCACATGCCAAAGTACTATGCTAATGTGTAGGCATAATCTGCTATAGCCTCCTGCCATTTCACACATCCTCGGGTGCTCTCTGGCACTCAATTTGATTTGTTTGCCATTTTATATAAGCAATGCCACTTTACTACACCGCTATATATATTGGGACTTGAGAATGAGCAGACTTTAGTATTGGGGGTAGGAGGGGGGGGAGGTAAGTGCTAGAACTAATTACCCAGATATGAAAGGCCAATATGTAATATCTTTTTTCAGGATCACTTCTATCCCGGATGCTGTTCACTGAAGATAATATGTCACACCTGTTGTTTCCTTATTGCTATTTAGAGCTAGATATTTATCACCTACTCAACACCTGGGCTCAGTACAACTCTAAAGAGAAAGAGCTTGATATTGTACATGTACTTGAATTTTAGGGAAGGATAGTAGAGGCAAAAATGAAGTACTTTGGCCACATAATGAGAAGACAGGAAAGCTTGGTGAAGGCAGTGATGCTGGGGAAAATGGAAGGAAAAAGGAAGAGGAGCCGACCAAGGGCAAGATGGATGGATGGCATCCTTGAAGTGACGGATTGACCTTGAAGGAGCTGGGGGTGGTGATGGTCGACAGGAAGCTCTGCCGTGGGCTGGTCCATTTTGTCACGAGGAGTCGGAAACGACTGAACGAATGAACAACAACAACATGTACTTGAATTAAGAGTACAGAATAGGGTGACTATTTTTAAAATAAGAGATTCTTCCCTCCAAACCTGCAAATGTAAAGAGCCCTAAATTAGAATACTTTGTATTTTTCCAAGATTTTTCTCCAAGTAATCCAAGTGCCTCGCATAAATTTCTCCTCATTACAATGTATGACAGTCAAATATTATTACCCCGACACTGTATATCAGAGAGGATGAAGTTAGGAATCTGAGCAGCAGTGGCATATTTAAACTAGAGGTTCACCATGTGCTTTACTACTGAACAATGTTGCATCCACTTGGATATAATGGATTTTAAGACAATAAGCTTCTTAAAACAAATCAAATCTTACACTTTCAGCTTGGTACAGCATCCTGGCTTCATGTCTCCTAAAAGTTGCATCATTGTGTCCAACAAAACTTGACTTGAATTAATCAGGAATTCACGGCCGCATGCTAAAGCAGCAATATCTATAAGGGAAAATACAAAATAATGTATACCAGATTGGCTCCAGTTCTTCTACATTGCCTTTGGGGATAGTACAAAATAAAGGCATTCAAAAATCTGCACTGCAAATAGTGTTCAATGCACCTTTTTCACACAAGGTGGCAGCAGATATTCACACAAGACTGGTGACTGACAGATGCTCACATGCACAATTAATTTTACATTGCCTAAATATCTTCAAGGAGCTGCATTCCCACTACCACATTTTAGCATGTGACTTATGCTCTAGAACAGTAGTTCACAGCCTGTGGGTCCCCAGATGTTTTAGCGTTCAACTCCCAGAAATCCTAACAGCTGGTAAACTGAATGGGATTTCTGGGAACTGTAGGCCAAAACACCTGGGGACCCACAGGTTGAGAACCACTGCAGAGTCTAGCAACTAAGGCAAACAGTGTGTGGTGATACTGGTGGTGTGAAAGCTCCTCATACATTACCGACCCTATCATCAAAATGTCAAGCCTCAGGTCAGTCTGATGATACAAGTAACCAAAACATTTTATTTGCATCATTTCACAGTTGACTGTGATTCTCATTACACCATTCCTCATTCTTCCCAATGGAATGAACAACCAGCCACAGAAATGTATGTTTCAGGACAAACGCAATCATACACAAAAATTCTGGTCACTAAATATTTTTCCACCCACTTTTGTTCCTCAATGACCATTGCTAAAAGTGAACTTCTCAGTCATCGCTATACCCACAAGTTTTGCATTTCTGTTGCTATTCTCACACATTTATCCTACTCATTCATAGTTATAAATCTATGTTCCTAGGCACATCACTCCATGCGTCTGCTAAGTAGACATAAATGTATGAAAGCTTATGTTACCAACTTCTTTCTCTTAGTTTCAAGCGTGCTACAATATCCCTTTGCATACCGATCTTGACTAATGTGGCAACAACTTTGAATTCTGATCTTGACTAATATGGCAGTGACTTTGAATTATATCACACTGGTGATAGTATGCAGGCTATCACGTGCATAGCAGGAAGTTGGACTGGATTGCCCTTGAGGTCTCTTCCAACTCTATGATTCTATCTTGATCTATGGATCAGAGCTATGTGCCAGATTAGGACAGAAAAACATTTTACTTATTACCTGGGCCAGCTGTTGATCTGAAAATTATACTGATTACAGATGCATTAACAAATGGATGTTTTTAAGCAGGAAAACATTAGAATTAGAATTAGAATAAGAACAGTCTTAAAACATAAAATATATACTTTGAAAGGCAGTTACTTTACCAAAAACTTAGACTAAATATGCAAAAAAATCTTCCTATGAAATATAAATAGTGACTTACTTGTAACAATCCCTGCCAAACCTAATACAAACTGACTTTCATCAGAATCCATATTTTGCTGTTTGATATCTTCACTTAATGATCTTACAAAACTTTCTATGGTTTGCCCAGCAATATTAAAGAACTTCACAGCTTTACTCTAGGAAGTAATGAAGGAAAAAAAGCAATTACCATGTTTTCCAATAATTTTACAACAATTACCATGTTTTCCAATAATTAATACTCAAGCAAACATGAGGGGATTAACTGTGCAGATTGTTTTCTGTTCTATACCAAGACTCTTCTGTTGAGACAAATGTTCTACAGTTATAATATTCTTCGCAACTGTAGCAAATTATAAGCTACAGTTGAAATATGGTGTGTATAAACATTTTGAAAATGTGCACAAGATTAATAAAAAAATTTCTAGAGATTATACGCATTTTTAAGTTTCATTTTGAATGTAGTGAATTATAATGTCTTGCTACAGTGACACTGTACAGCCTAATATATTTATTATAACATTTAGAAGGAGCTAAAACTCATTCAAGTCAAAGTTTGAAGATGGCATGAGACATTTTATTTTCTCTGTGCAATAGAAAGCACCTAAAAGACAAAAAGCCTCGACAAGTGCTGCCCAGACTATGGCAGAAAAAGGAGGAAACAAACAGCTAAATCATTATACAGCTACTTCAAAGGGAATTATTTCACACAAAGCAGTTGAAAAATCTTCTAATCCAGAAAAAGGAAGTAGATGGATTAAATCTGTCTTCAAAACCCAGGCTTGATTACAACTAGTAAAATTAACATTTTTTTAAATTTTAATTTATATATTTATATATTGTATATGTGTATGTCTACATATATATATAATATTAACTGATTATTTTCTGCAGACTCTGGATAGTTACATAAAGCTTAGTGACATATCAGCATAATACAACAGAAGTTTCAGCAAGAATGGCAAATGAGAATACTAGAGTGGATCAACAGTGTTTGAAAAGTAGTAGAAATCATGTTAAGTAGAAGTATACATATGTTATCTAGTTTCTTAAATAAGAAAAATAATAGTTAGCATTAAAGCAAGCAGGTTTTCGGAGCAAATAATATCTTCAGTTGAGGGACTGGAAACCAAGCCTCTTATCTGTTGTCTTTTGATTTTTTTAAAAATATAATATAGGATAAGGTAGTTTGTGGCTTACAGTATTTACACATATATGTGTTTTATATTTCTAAAATGTTTTGTGGCTGCATGTGTTTGTAATCAAGACATTTAAGAAACAAAGAGATGGATTAATGTAAAAAGGCTGCATGGCTGATTTACAGATTCTTCCCATGGTAAAAGCTTTTCAAGACCTGCGCATATGTGGAAAATAGCAGTGCTATGATTACACAGTTATTCCCTCTACATCCTATAATATATTCATGGTTTTCCATGACTAAGTGGGGATGTGAACCCTAGTCTTCAGGGCCATAGTCCAACACTCAAATCACTACACCAAGCTGGCTCTATTTATTTATTTAAATAATAATGGTTAGTATAATTTCCACCATGGAAGCATCTCCATGCAGCTCAGTTTGAATTTTGTCAACATTACACAAACATGTGCAGCATGGGCTCAGCACCTAGGTCGTAATAAATGCATTCAAGAAAATAATAAACTGTGTGCCAAGACCAACTAAACTGAAAAACAAAGGTCAATCTGTTTTGCTAATAATTCAAAGTTGGTTTTTATCTAGTTAGCTAATTATTTCTACCAAATGAAGACTGGTGCAGTAATTGAACTTACACTGCCTAGAATATTTTTAACTGTTTCTTCATTGCTAGAGACACTCCATAACAATGTGCACACTGCAGCACCCATTTCTGTACAGTATTCAGCTTGTTGTAATAATTGTTGCTTTGCCTCATTCAACTGTTGTCGAGCTGTTAATTTTTCCTGAAAATAATCAAACTAAATATGACTACCAGATTAATACTGGGCAGCATTATATTGCTAAGAAATTCTTAAATATATTTTCTAATAAATTCTGCAATGCTCTTGGCTAATTCCAAAAAGAAGAAAAATTGACTCAGGGTAGATATGCAAGAATTTGAAATCTCTTCCAGTTGCATGTTACAAAATACAGTACAACCCTTTATATGGGAACTTCATATCCATGGTTTCAGTTATTGAATCCCCCTCAGAAGTATGGGATTCTCTCAGTGGTTCCCAACCTTTCGGTCTCCAGGTATCTTGAACTTCACCTCCCAGAAATCCAAGCCAGCTTATCAACTGTTAAGAACTGTGGAAGCTGAAGTCCAAAACACCTGGAGGCCCAAATGTTGGGAACCACTGCCTAGATGCTGTTCTACGGTAGGCTTGTAGACTAAGTATAATAAATAATAAATAAATAATAATAAATAAAGTATAGTCAAAATGTAAAGTTTGCTATTATCCATGGATTTTTTTAAACCTAAGATAATGGACAAAGAAATTATATTGACTCCTAATTTTGTTAGTCTTATAAAATCTCCAAAGCAATTTCAGAATATAAACTAGTGATTCATTGTTGAGAAAAATAATTCAAATTATACCATTTCTAATCATTCCACTATTATATTACAAGAAGTTTGTTAAGAATGTAGATCAGATTTGCGCAAGTTTAATAGCAAACCTTCAACTTGTGCACAGCTTTATCTCACCATTACAAAAAGTCTTAACTGCAAGGAAATAATATTCTGGATGATTATAGAAGCATTAAAAAAAAGAACAATAGTAATATGAACTCAGGTCTTTCCAGTAATGTAAAAAAAAACCTGTAATCCTGCAAAAATTTGTGCTTGAAATCAAAGCAGCATCTTCCTTGAGGGACGGGAAAGCCTTGCCTCTCATGTTACATTATCCTTTCAGAAAGCTCAGAACTTAAGATATATGTAAGAACTCTACTACAGGACTAATTTAAAGGCTAGATTAACCAGTGCTGAAAAGGCAAATAGATCCTGCCTTGGCATCACCCACTCTCACATAAATACAATCTTTTACATGCTGACAAAACATTGGAACTTATCTAGCCAAGTAGAATATCTTATTTTATTTGGAAATGGGGATCCTATGCATATTTACCTAAACACAAGCCCTACTAAGTTCAATAGAGCCCACTCCCAGGTTATCATGTTTAGAATTACAACCAGGAAGCAGGCACAGGGAAGTAACAGGAAACAAAGTAACAGGAAAGATCACAGACACCCTAAAACGAAGGAGATTATCCTTCTAAGATACACTGGTTTAAGTACAGTGGGCTCTCAATATCCACCATAGTTTGGTTCTAGGATACCAAAATGTATGGGTGATTTATTTATTTATTTATTTTGTGTCAAAAGCATTCCATAAATAAATAAGTTTAAAAATGATAAAATAAAGGGATCACAAGCAGCTAAATAGTTTTAGACCAAAAACTGGCAACAGAGACCGCATTGTCTGTAGCTTTAAACAGTTATTCCTCTGTGCATGAGGCAGGGCATTGTGGGCAAGCACACAGATGCTGAATTGTTTGTTCTGCTCCACAGTCACACAAGGTAGAGGATTCTTCTAGGTAGTCTTTTGATCTGCCAACTTCACTGGTAAGTGTGTTCAGGGACTTCCAAGTTGCCCATTCTTGGTTTGTCCCTGGAAGAAGACCCTCGTATGGATGCTAAAGTAGAGTATGCTTTACTCTATTTATATGCAATGGTAGAGTAAATTGGCATCCCTTATATAAAATGGCAAACAATTCAAATGAGTGTCAGAGAGCGCCTGAAGATCTACGTAATGGATTGAAGCCAGCACAGATTGTCTACACATCAATATACTGTCTGATGTGCAGCAAAATCAAGGTTTCATTTGGAGACATTTTTCCAAATATTTTTGAGCTGTTGTTGGTTGAATCCATGGATGCCAAATCCATCAATATGGAGGGTCAACTGTACACTAAGCATTCTTCAATGTCAGTTAGAATGAAAACCTGACAAGAACACAGCTGTTCTTGCGGACAAATGCATTAATAGTACGATTGTATAAGTGTCTTTTCAGAAGGCAGGGTATAGAATTGCAGTCTAAATATTTTGCAATGGCTGCCATTCTATGAACACATTTATCTGAAAGCAAGTACTGTATTATCTGATACATTGGGTCTTATTTATTTGTAGACAAAATAACATTGCACTGTGCCTCTCAAAGGCACGACACAAAAGATAATTACACAAAAATGAACTGAGTTATGAATACAAATTCTACCTACCTTTCTCTCTTTCATGCAATCTGCTTGAGCTGCTTCTAAACGGGCTTTATAGTGTTCACAATCCATTCTCAACTGTTCTAGTTCAATATCTTTTCTTTCTATGGCTAAAAGGCAGAAGACCCAAACAAAAAATACGAAGTAGAACAATAATTTGAAATTCTAAAACTTATTAACAATTAACCAACAAACAATATATATTCTGAAAAGATAGTAAGCATCCTAGAGTGCTCCATACCACTTTGCATTATTCACATCCCACAATGGAATATGTTTCTTGGGGAAAGGTGATGCTTTAAAGTTAAGTTACACATCAATATAACTCAATCTTAATTTCTCCAGTTTCAATACTTCAATAAGCACCACCATCGCAACAAACTAGAATAAGAGCATAACAGTATTGTCCTGTACTGGACAAAGAGTCTAAATATCTAGATCAGCATTTGAATCTCTTACTGCCAACAAACTGACACAACAGGAACTCTATAAGTAGGATCTAAGTGGAATAGTAGCTTCCTAATCATGTTCTACATAAATTATTACTGAAACACAATCAATAGTAATACACTCAATAGTCAATTTATGCAGTAATACTAGCAAATATTGCAAACTCACTTGTTTCAGCAGCATCTAACCTCTGAAAGCTCTCTAAGACATCTCCGTTCACCACTTTGGGCAAAATGTCATGCAACTGCATCACTTCCGTCGTCAACCTCTCTAAATCTCTTTTTCTGACTTTAACAAATTCCCCTTGTGTCTCGGCTTTCTGCAGCAATCAAAAAGTACCCTTAATTCAGATATTTAATATTCCACCCTTTCTCACAAACAACCCCATGTAGAAAACAATTTACATCAAAACACAGTCTAGCACAAACACTATTAAAATGTAATTCTGAAGTCAATACATTATAGTAATAGTAAATATAGTATAGTAAATAAATAATAAAGGACAATAAAACAAATTTATTTAGTAAATCTGCATTTCTCTCAAAATGTCATTCAAGGTGGCCGAAATGTAACATCTTATCTCCCAGTGCTTTCAAATAGCACGTTAATGAGAAGGGGAAGAAAGGGAGAGGAGCCTGGATCCTACTGGAATTCGAGAACATGAATAACAGTCAAGAAAATGATTCCTAACTTATTCTTGAGGCTGCACCAGAGAAGAGGAGATATAGAGTCTGAAGCTTCTCACATAATGCTAAATCATAGTACAACTCTATCCAGGAGCTATGCTTTCCTGGACTTCATGTGGATATGCAAAACCACAGATAATAGCAAATCCTATTGAAACAAAGACATTCTGATCCAAAAATGCCATAGGGCTGTACTGATCTAAAAAATGCCTAGAGAAGACGTACGTTATCAGAGATGGATAAATGAAACTGCAGAAACTGATCGTGCAGATACAAAAGTCGTATTCTACATCCAAATAGAGCTAGAGTCTCGCTTATCCAACATAAATGGGCCGGCAGAACATTGAAGAAGCGAAAATGTTGGATAATAAGGAGGGATTAAGAAAAAGCCTATTAAATGTCAAATTACGTTATGATTTTACAAATTAAGCACCAAAGCATTATGTTTTACAACAAACTGACAGAAGAAGCAGTTCAATACATGGTAACATTATGCAGTAATTACTGTATTTACGAATTTAGCACCAAAACATCACAATGTATTGAAACAGCTGTGGATCCGGGTGGGAGGCAGACTGCGTTGGTTAATACGGAATGTTGGATGAGTGAAGGTTGGAGAAGCGGGACTCTACCGTATTATGACCAGTATACAAATGCAGCTACTATATCCCGCAGTTTGCATATTAATTCCTACATCGCTTCTATAAAGGAAATGGCTTACTTTGTTAACTGGGCAGATTTGGTGTCAAGAAGTTCATTTCAACTGTTTTCATTTTATTTCACAGCTCTATAAAGATACCAGCACTCAGATTTGGTGAAATATCATATGAATATATATATATATATATATATATATATATATATATTATATAACCTCATTTTTACTTGGAAGTCCCTGCCCATTTTAAGTAAAGGCACACAAGATTTTGGAAAAAAAATAACCTGAAAGCAGCAGAAGCCTAGTTACTACTATACAAGCAGTACCAAAGTTAGGTTTGTTTTTAAGTTGTATTTGTAAGTTGGAACAGGTACATTTTTCAAGTGTAATTCCAGCCAAAATATTTTTTTAGCTTTGTATAGCATAGGGAAGGGCATAGCATAGGGAAAATAAACACCCCTGTGGTGTTTATTTTGCTGTCTGTGTCCCTATTCAGATTTCACCTCACTTTCTGTCTCTGTGACAATTGGATAAAGCTTCAGTGGAGACACCTTTCCCCTAGCTTAAGTGGCTTAGAGGGAAAAGGAAGAGCCTGAGGCTGTTAGGAATTGTGGGAGTTGAAGTCCAAAACACCTGGAGGCCTGAAGTTTGCCCACGCCTGGTATAAACTCTGACCTGACTAGATATTAATATTAAAATACTGTAATTAAAAGCAAAGAATGACAAATAAATGATAAACTTCACTTAATACAACTGTTTTACTATATTTAAAAACACATTTTTAATTTAACGTATTATTTCTTTGATTTTTTTTTGTTGGTTGTTTGTGAGTTCTGGTTAACTGAGAGTCTACTATTTTCTGAGAACTGAGAGGAGGCTATGATTATTTGAGAGCCAATAATGTCACCGCATTCCTTCCACTGACTGGATGCCATTCAAATGTATCCACATCCAAAGCAAACTAGAAACACGACTAAAAGCCCTGTCACACTTCTACCGCTACGACTCCACTTCAACTGCCATGACAACAGGGTATGGAATCCAGGGATGTGCAGTTTAGGGGAAAGCTTTTAGAATTCTCCTTGGGCCTGGGTTAACTAGAAATTGATCTGTCACTGGAATCATGCTGACTATTCCACACAGCTGAATAAAATCCCACATGTTCTGCTTTGAACTGGGATATATGGCAATGTGGACAAAGATAACACAGTCCAAAGCAGACATTGTGGGATTTTCTGCCTTGATATTCTGGGTGTGTGGAAGGGCCCATAGTGCTATAACACTGTAGTGTGACAGGGCTCAGAGAAATCTAGTTTTGTAAAAGGAGGGGTGCTTGAAACATTCAGCCCCACATTTCTTTACATCAGATAGACTGATAGGGAAAGGATGGAGGAGGAGGAGGAAGGCAACGCGCCTCAGACGCCACGACATGCTGAGGCGTGGGTCCAATCCTGACCCCATCCCTGCAAAGCCAACGAGGCCGCTTTCCCTCCAGCCCTGGAAAAAGGCGCCCCTCCTCCCCTCGGTTTCCCGGGCAACAGACGTCCTCGCGCTACCTGCGCTCCCTCCCCAGCGCCGCGCGCGCTACATTCTCGCGCGCGCTTCATAGCGACTGAAGCTGCCCTGAGGATGAAAGTCAGAAGGCGCCGAGGCCCCGCCCCCTCGGCTAGGCTCCACCCCTTCAGCCAATCCCTGCGTCACGAATCCTGCTCAGGGAAAAAGGCGGAAAAATCACTCTCCATAAAAGGGCTTGAGAGGCTGTGCTTGCACTTCCCTGCTTTGGACCTCCAGAACAATTCTGAGGTTTTTATAGACTTGAAGTATTTAGAATGCTCTTTCAGAGAGTCATTCACGTATACATATTATGTATGTATATAAAATTCAACTTATATCCCCATACCAAAAAAGGGAAACGCTAAAGACTGCTCAAACTTTCGTTCAGTGGCACTTATTTCACATGCCAGCAAGGTAATGCTCAAGATCCTGCAAGGAAGATTCCAGCAATACATGGAGAGAGAGTTGCCAGATGTACAAGTTGGGTTTAGAAAAGTCAGAGGAACAAGAGACCAGATAGCCAATATCCACTGGATAATGGAGAAAGACAGGGAGTTTCAGAAAAACATCTATTTCTGTTTTATTGACTATTCTAAAGCTCTTGACTGTGTGGATCGTAATAAATTGTGGCAAGTTCTTGGAGGTATGGGGATACCAAGCCACCTTGTCTGCTGAGGAATCTGTATAACGACCAAGTAACAATAGAACAGACCACAGAACAACTGACTGGTTCAAGATTTGGAAAGGAGTACAGCAGGGCTGTATACTCTTACTCTGCCTATTCAACTTGTATGCAGAACACATCATGCAGCATGCGAGGCTTGACCAATCCAAGACTGGCATTAACATTTCTGGAAGAAACATTAACATCCTTGAATATGCAGATGATACCACTTTGATGGCTGAAAGCTTAGACCAATGAAAGAATTGATCTTTGTAAACCAATGAGAATGTGCTTTTGACTTTCTGTAAAGTGATAAAAAGCCTTGCAATCCCAATCTGAGGTTGCAACAGACCTTTTGTGCTGTGGGCACTCTACTATTGCCTATTGCTTGGCCCGCAATAAACATCTTCTTAATTTAGAATTTGACTTGTGGCTTACTTTCCTTTACACCACCCTCACGGGCCCAAGGGGGCTCCTCACTTTGTGCACAGTTCTGTAATGCCGGAGAGCCATTGCCCCTACATACATGTACACACATACTCCAATTTTGGCAATGGACAAAATTGGCATTTTGGGAGTTGAAGCCCAAAAGGCCAGCTTTTGCTGAAGACTGCTCTAGTGCCTTCCCAAACTGCAAATCCAAGGATTTTGTACAAGAGTCTTAGCAGTGAAAGTGGAATATATATAGAAAAGTTAAAGGTTTCCCCTGACATTGTCTAGTTGTGTCTGACTCGGAGGGGGTGGTGGTGGTGGTGCTCATCTCCATTTCTAAGCTGAAGAGCTGGCGTCCGTAGACACCTCCAAGGTCATGTGCCCAGCATGACTGCATGGAGCGCCATTACCGTCCCGCAGAAACAATGCCTATTGATCTACTCACATTTGCATGTTTTTGAACTGCTAGGTTGACAGAAGCTGGAGCTAATAGTGGGAGCTTACCCTGCTCCTTGGATTCGAACTGCTAACCTTTCAGTCAGGAAGTTCAGCAGCTCAGCGGTTTAACCCACTGCACTACCGGTGTGTGTGTGTGTATGTATATGTATGTATATATGTATATATGTATATATATATATATATATATATATATATATATATATACTAGCCGTCTCCTGCCATGCGTTGTTGTGGCCCAGTCTGTGTATATGTGTTTTTTGTGTGTGCATATGTGTGTATATATTTGTATATATGTGTATTCATGTGGTTATGTGGGGTGGTGATGGCCGACAGTGAGCTCTGGCATGGACTGGTCCATGAGGTCATGAAGAGTCGGAAACGACTGAACGAATATTTATTTATTTATTTATTTATTTATTTACTTTGCTTATATACCGCTGTTCTCAGCCCAGGGGCGACTCACAGCGGTGTACAACATAGAAAGAACAAGGTTCAAAATTCAAAACACAATCTATAATAATCAGTCCAGCATTAATCAAAAATATCGTCATCAAAAAACATCATTAATACTACAAAAGCCATTCCACGTCGTCTCATCGTCTAAACCACAATCCAGTATTATTTTCCGTTGTTCCATTCCTGTCGTCATTACCAATTATTGCACTTCTTGTTCGAACGCCTTCTTGAACAGCCAAGTCTTTAATTTCCTGCGGAATATCATCAGGGAAGGAGCCAGTCTGATGTCCACGGGAAGGGTGTTCCACAGCCGAGGAGCCACCACCGAGAAGGCCCTATCTCTCGTCCCCGCCAGGCGTGCCTGTGAGGCAGGCGGGATCGAGAGCAGGGCCTCC